GTTTTCCTTCGCTGAAGGATCCTATTTCATTGTGGATGAAGCTGCTAGGTTTGTGAAAAGTGTTCAAGGTAAAGTTTTATATTATAATGTRAAAATTTACACGTAAAAACGGTTTTATAAAATCGCGTGCTTTTCAACAAAATTTTACGTTTCGGTAATCACACGTAAAAACATCAGAAAGTTCGTTGTTAAAAGTGGGACTGGCAGGGGCGGCGGATCCAGTGGACGCAGCTGTGGGCCTATTTRCCCCGCAGCCCCTGTGCCCCACTTGAATTTGCCCCTAACTGGGCTCTGTAGAAATTTCAAAATGTCAGACTTGAGTATTTATCAGCATAAATCATTTCAATGATACTATAAAGAATCAATAGTACTAACAGTTGCAGTTTTTTGTCATTTAGTAGAATAAAATTCAAATGTATCTCACTTATTTGTATTAGGAATAGCTCTCAATCTTTGGAGGTACAACAATGCAACTCAAAAATTATTTATATCAAGATCTTTCGTGTTTACCAATGAGCAGGTAAGACATGAATGGTGAAGTATCAGGAAAGTGCTTTTGATTTGTCAAACATAACCGGAGTATCAGGCCTTCTTCCTTTTTTCCCTCTGTTTTTTCTTCCAGAGAGAATTATTCATCATGATCATCTTCGTCGCATAATCATGTCATTTTTTATTATAGTTGTAACAGCTGAGCCAAGATAGTTGACTATTTTATCATCATAACAAAAACTTATTTATACCAAAACTTCATACATTATCAGGCATTTGAAGACATCAGAGGACAGCTAGAGAATATGTAATAGACACATATAGTGATATACTGAAATTCGGGCTTCCTGTGTGCACTTAAAGTCAAGCTTGGGCTCCCTTTGGATATGACTGAGAGACTGGGCTACCTGTGTACAGGATCCGAAGAAAAAAGGAAATAAAAATTTACAAATGCTCTAAAAGAGTGCAAAAACACCTAAAAAAAATTAAATGATTAATAATTCATATTAAACACTGATCAAGCACATCTTTGCTTTATTTTATATTGATATTTACTTTTTTTTCTTTTTCGCTTCTTTATTTTTTCATTTAATTGCTTTTTTATGTTGCGTTTATCAGTTGCTTCTCCACACCCACCTCCAAAAACTTTGTATTTTAGGGGTGTTTTTTGTTTTGTTRCTGTTGTTTTTTGTCGATCATCCCTCTATCCTAATAATTGAGAGTGTAAACCCCCTGGATATGTCTATTATTTTGTTCATTGCCCTCTGGATAAGGTTAACATAAGCTCAACATCGTATCTCCCTTTCTTATATTATGGCCATACAAGGCGCTGCCGATTTCAAAAGTACCGTAAGCGAGCGTATGAAAACGAGGTATTTTCAGAAGCATTTTGAAAACACCCACAATCCTCCTGTGCGTTTCGTTTTAATTCGATATTTTTGCCCATCACGGAAATTTGTAATTATAGCAGTAGGGAGAAACCGTTTCGCACACCATGTAAGAGAATCCAGAGAACTAGAGGATTCCAGATTTCAAGCCTTGAGATTGCGGATCCCAAAGAATTTTTGTTTTTGGATTYCAGATGTGTTTTTTGGACTTCAAACTTTTTGCTGGATTCTGAATTCTAGATTCAAACTGATTTGGATTCCGGATTCCAGCATACGGATTCCGGATTCCAATTTTACTGGATTCCTGATTCTCTTTCATGGAGCGAATCCGTTGCCTCCGTCTATGGATACCCTAGACCAGTCCGCTCCTTCTATTTATAATTAATGAAAAGTTTATATCTTGAAGTTTATCTTGTTCTGTTGTTGTAGAGCACGTACACACACCTTCTAATTAGTCATGTTTAATGTTCATGTTATTGCCCTGTCTTCATTATCGCTATATCTATCTACCGAAACTTTTACTCCGACTGAAATGATGACACYTTGAATGCATTGCTCCGACCCACAATTAAAATACAGAGCATATTTCACTASAGTGGTTGCCATAAAGCCGTGAAACAAAGAATAATAGACAACGTTTGAGTAAAGTCATTTACCCGTGAAACAAAATTTRACTATTAAAGTATGGTTCAAATAGACAAACACAAAAAACAATGGAATTATAGAGTACTAAGGTGTATTAATGTAATATCTATTTCACGKTTCAKKTTTTTTTTTTKACTTCAGTGTGTACACAGARAAGACRGAGAAAATCGTACAAAATGAAGAGTTATATACTAGTATAGTACCGCGCCTAAAGTGCATTTCACGGGTTTGCAAAATCACTCTAAAATGCGTGAAATTAAACCTTAACAGACAGTGTCTATTTAGTAATATAAGTTTAGTATGAGCTATTTAGTAACTAATAACATTAACTCCAAGCCATGCAAGAACTGGCGARGGCCAAGGGAAAGAATTCCCCGATGGCGTGCTTTTAAGACCTTGCAGTGGAGGATAACGCTATCAATTCCCCCTCGGCAACCAACGTTGCGCACCGACCCCAACTTTGTCAATTGACATCGATAAAGATAAAATTTTCACATTATCTGTGATGCGCCGGCCTCTTGACTCGCTAAGACTATCGCAGTTTCACTTACAAAAGTGTGACATTTTAACTGTTAAAAGGAGTCAACAGTGTCTTGATAAGTAGGGTGATACTAATGGACCTTAGCTTTTTAGTTTAGAGCTTGCAAATGAAAATCACCGGCCTTCTGCATGTTCTGGCGAGCTTGAGAGCGTTTGCATATGTTTAAATCTTTTTGGTAACTTTTGCTTAGCGGCCCCTATAGTACTGTATACTAACACGCCTATACTCCAGTTTCGAATTCTCCAATGCTCTGTGTTAGCCTCACTTGTGCGCAAAATATTCCTTAGTTGTGAGCGTAAAAGTGTGAGATTTCAAATCAAATATTGTCTTTCTTCACAAATTCCATGCGTTTTCCCGAGCTAATGAAACAAAAGAATATGTTACTTGGTTTTGAGGCTGCTAACACAGAGCAAACCATGCGAAGTTGAACATCCTTCATAGTCAGTCTTTTCCCAGAAATGAGAATATATATACTGCCTTATGTTGGCCTCTCAAACAGTTCAGGATTTGGATGAAATTTGCGTTTCTTCATAATCTAGAGGATGAGCTCTTGGGTAGCCGGATGTAGACGAAACCACATGACGATTAAGCGCTTTGGCAGAATGAGAAATAAAAATTAAAGTTTTTACAATTTGATTTCGAAGAGGGTAATTCTTTCACTATTATTCAGTTGAATCTGATACTCTAGCTTTCAAATGTTATATTGCAACCACATGCCTTTGGCTCGTCGAAAGAAACGTCTTGTTCAACGTAGATATGATTTGCGCCCAGTTCATTTGGCATCGATTCCTCAAGTGTGGATGTTTGATAATCATCGATGATATGTACGCAATATCACACATGTCAAACTGAARCGATAGGTTTGATTATATGGACGTGCATGTAGCTTCTCTCAATAACTCTCAGCTACTACATGTAAACAGGCAGTTTTGACCCGTGTGCTTTTTCTAAAGGATGAAACGAGCCTATTTGATTTTTACCCATCCAMAATCGCGCCGAAAAATGACTTTATGGAAGGCAAAAAGCAAACAAATTCAATTGTTTTTTTTTATCCAAGCGTGTGGGTCATTACCAGCATTACCAGCGTACATCAGTCAGCACAGCTTTTGCTTTAACTAAGCTCCTTCTACTATAACAGTCTCACTGCCTAAACAGCCGCCACGCTGAGAAGGCGCTTAACGCAGATTCGCCATGAAGGTGCTATTTTTAACGAGTTAAGTAAATATTTACAATCAAGAACTTCTTAACGCGCCGAATGTAAACATAGTTTGAGAGGCAGCACTTTCGTTTTTAATTGCTTTTTAGTGTTTTATTACAATTATAAGATATGTTATCAACAGATGGACAGCACACGAGTAGTTGGTGCCAAAAGAACATTCGTTTAAATGACTATATCGAGTCATTACTTCAGCCCACTTTTCAATAAACGAATCGCGCAAATCACGAAGAGAATTAGCACATTTTTGATACATTTTATCGCGTTTACTTAGTGTCAGTGACGTTTGACATCGGAAATGTTTGAAATGTTGGTCAAACCTATATTTACATCAAGATCCTCTTAAAACAAGATTGATTTGTGGACTTTTCCTTACCCAGCGAGGTATTTTYCCTTATATTTCTCAGCGGGTGTATGTGTAGGAGTTTTTTTGAAGGTCAATGTCAAAATTTACCTGGAATTCGYAAAGGAATAAAAKAATGYATACRCTGTGTTGCATTGCCTGYWTCTGAAAATTCACCATAAAATAAGTTTTAAATGGTACGCTGAAATCATTTGCTCGTGCTCCTTTTATACACTAGCAAATGTTTTACSACTACAATGCATCCTTGTCGATAAGAAATTTGWGGGCCTCATTTTGCGCCTGTTATGTGTAGGAATTTTAGCGCTACTTTTTAATTTTGAACTGATAAATACATTCATGAACTGACCCTGGCAACAAGGGTCCTCTCTCTACAAGGGGAAATGAAGAGAAGAATAGCAGTGAGAAATTATAAAGAACTTGTGAAACGCCCTCAAAACGACTTAAAGAATACTAAAAGACTCAAAATACTAATGAAAGAATAAATGCATGTTATAATTACATCAGGCGATAAAATATTATTACAGATATGGTACTTATAACTCTATATACACGTGTTTGTCATTACGATGATAGTATAGTGTTAACGACTTAATAATGTTCAATATGGAACTCCATTTTGGCAGTTCAATCGCTTGTACTTGTAAAACAACAAAGCATTCAAAGGTTTTCGCAATTCCGAACTCATAATGTATATAGCAACTGGATTGAAAGCGCTATTGCTAAAAAACAAYGCTGTAAAGATCGCATACAACCCATCAATCACTTTGCTGCCATCSTGAATTTCAGGGAAGAATTCCACAATCAGCGCTAGAATTGTCAGTGGGCACATACAGATCCAGAAAACAGCAACAATGACGATCAACATCTTTACGAGCTTAGCGTTGTATCGGTAGCGATGCTGGTCTTGCTTCAAGCTTGTGTTGCTTGTAAAAGACGTACGTGAACTCATGTGGAAGCTGCTGCGTTCTTGAAGTCGCTTACTCTGCATTCTCATTGTTCTTATCATAACTATGTACGAATAAGCAGTGATGAACAATGGAATAACAATTAAYGACACTATAAAACAAGTCTGAATCTTGTAGACCACATCTGATGGCCATTTGGGGATGCAWAGAAGGCGTTCACCAAAGTCGAGTACTTCCATATGGAAAGACATTGGAAAACCAATTACCAGATAGGATAATAGCCATATTAAAGCTATAGTCAACTTGCCTCCCTTAACGCTCATCTTTGGTTTAAATGGCATGGAAATTGCTCGATAACGTTCCAACGTAATAACAGTAATAGTACATATAGAAACYGAGAARAARACGTCATTTAGCGCGATCAGAACTTGGCAAGCAATCTTACCAAAAGACCATGAGAAGTAATCTCGGATAATCGTGGCCGGCAAGGACACTAATAAGATCCCCAAGTCAGAAATAGCCAGATTGAAAATAAAGTAATTAGTTGTCGAGCCCATTTCTTTACGAYAAGTCACTGCTAAAGTGATATATAAATTCCCAATSACTCCAAGCATGAAAATGAACGAATACCAAGCAAACTGGACAGTTATGTAGTCTGGTAAAGTTGGATGGGTTTTGGTAACGTTCCAAATCACCCCTCCACGCTCGTCCATCGTGCTCGCTTCTGTGTAGTCTACTGGTAAGTCACTTTCCATTATATAAGTGTCAAATGGTAAACAATAGCTTATTCTGTGGAGTGTGAATTATGTGTTAATCTCTGTGGTTTTGAAACAGGCTTTGCTCTTCTGTACCCTTAAAGTTTGTACACAAGATATAAAATTGCTTCTTATGGAGTTCTTTGAGATGAGACACCAAAGCTTTATGGCCTCGTGTGTTTTTCCTGCCTTCAGGACCAAAATTGAACACTTTTTGTAGAGTTTTAGTGAAGCGAAACCAAGTTTACACAAACGAATTCGGCACAGCGGGTTATAAAAATAATACTGTACAARACGAAATGATTCAATTCGCTACGTCTACCTCAAGTCTGTTCGCTTCTTGTGCAAGAATGCTGATAAGTTTTCCTCGCTAAGCAATATAACAGAATCCAGGATGTGACCTATGAAATAAAGCCATCAGATAACTCAAGCAATAATGAATTGAATGTTATTCTATGTGATCTCTTCAGAAAATCGTCATTCCTCGACCGTGWGATGAACTTTCGCCCTCTTAGATACGAAATTTGATAAGTAGCACTGTTAATTGATACGCGATAGACGACGAAAAGTTGAGCACCAATTTAGAAAGCCATCCAATTATAAATCACAGAGAGTCCGCGCATTAAGAAAATCTTTTAATGAGTTTTCACGAACAATAAGGTTTAWYAAACTGACCATTCATGTGATCTAAAATGCCTTTGTTCAGCGGGAAGACATGGATTACAATACGAGCTAAAACCTTGACAAAATTTTCGTATTTAGTTGAAGAAATAGTCAAATCTCGTGCGAAATGAACTCAAAACTGCTTTGGCGATTGTCTTTGGACTGTTGAGTGATGGAAAGACTCGTTTYCACTAATCATGAAATAAAATGTAATAGTTAAAAAACAAGAAAAAGTTATGCAACGAAATTGCGAAATTACCCTTTTTTATGCAACTCATTCTCGTACCCAGAATCTTCTTAGTTTCAAATTCATATTCCATTGAGATACTGACTAGGATCTGGATATTAGAAATAGTAACTTTTAAAATAAGTCCAATGACAAAAAAAACAACAAAAAAACATAAGAAACACAAAGCATACAAACACATTCCCGCATCGCCAAGGTCTAGTGACTACACTTGCCGACTATTAGGACAGAGTTAGTAACTACTAACTCTGATTAGGACTATCAAGACACCGACTGCGTAGCTGCAAAAGAATCCACGTAAATAACTCCACTGGAGTCAAAACTTAATTAACATAGATCTGTCATGTCCCAGCAAAGAAAGATGATTAATCATGTCCTTATCAAATGACTTGGTACCACAAATGAGAAATAGCGGTTTTTGATCAGCATCAGGACATTCGTGACGTAAGACATCTTTATCAATGCGACCATAATGCACTTCGTCTCCATAACGAACACGTGATTTGTTGCCATGGTTTTCCTATAAACATAGAAACCCAATGAGCGCGCTCATAAACCAAGCCTCTTTCAAGACAGGAAGCCCAACATAAAAGGGATCTTTTTTTTTATAAATGTGTGAGGGCCATTCCATAAAAACAACCTCCGATTTTTGTCGACATTGTTCTCCCGTCAACAATTTTGAACTGCTTATATTATACAGTGCTTTTGA